GCCACAACATTCCCTTCAGCCCAAGCCTGATCCAGGGCAAGGCCCTAATGCCCTTCAACTCTATGAAGATAGAGAGGGGAGGAAGCTGCAGAAGAAAAGTTTGAAGCTAGCAGGGGTTGGCTCATGAGGTGTAAGACGCCATCACCATGAGGCACCTGGGTGACTTGGTTGGTTAAGCATGCTCATTTACCACTCTAAAAATGCTAGGGCCCTTAATAATGATGCTAACTCTATTCCACCTGTGCTCTATAAATGGAACAAAACCTAGATGACAGTATATCCATTAATAGCATGGTTTACTGAATATTTTAAGCCCATTATAAAGACCTACTGCTCAGAAAATTTTTTTAAAAATATTACTGCTCATGGACAATGTACCTAGTCACCTGAGACATCGGAGAGAGATGTACAAAGAGATTAATGTTGTTTTCATGTCTGCTAACCCAACTTCCTTTCTGCAACCCATGGAACAAGGAGTCATTTTCACTTCCAAGTCTTATGATTTAAGAAATACATTTCATAAGGCTATAGCTGCCCTAGGTAGTTGTTCCTCTGATGGATCAGGGCAAAGTAAATTGAAACCTTCTGGAAAGGATTTGCTATTCTAGATGCCATTAAGAACATTCATGATTCATTGGAAGAGGTCAAAATATCAACATGAGCAAGAGTTTGGGAGAAGTTAATTCCAACCTTCATGGAGGACTTTGAGAGGTTCAAGACTTCAGGGGAGGAAGTAACTGCAGATGTGGTAGAAACAGCAAGAGAACTAGACTTAGAAGTGGAGCTTGAGATGGGACTGAATTGCTGCCATCTCATGATAAAGTGTTAATGGATGAGGGGTTGCTTCTTATGGATGAGCAAGGAAAGTGGTCTTTTGAGATGGAATCTACTCTTGGTGAAGATGCTGTGAAGATTGTTGACCTGACAACAAAGAATTTAGAAGATTACATAAACTTAGTTGAAAAGGCAGGGACAGCATATGAAAGGATTGACTTCAATTTTGAAGGAAGTTCTCCTGTGGGTAAAATGCCAATAAACACCATCGCATGTTAAAGAGAAATCTTTCATGAAATAGAGTGTCCATTGATTTGGCAAAATTCACGGTTGTCTTACTTCAAGGAATCACCACAGCCACGCCAGCCTTCAGAAATCACAACCCTGATCTGTCAGCAGCCATCAAAAAAGAGATTAAGGCTCACTGAAATTTCAGATGATGGTGAGCATTTTTTTGTTTTTTTTTTTAGCAAAAGTATTTTGGGGACCGGGTGGCTCAGTTAAGCAGCTGCCTTCGGCTCAGGTCATGATCTCAGGGACCTGCCCGGTGTCGGGCTCCTTGCTCAGTGAGGAGTCTGCTTCTCCCTCTCCCTCTGCCCCTCCCCTCTCTCTCAAAATCTTTTTTTTTTTTTTTTTAAAGTATTTTAAGATTAAGGTATATACATCTTTAAGACATAATGTTATTACATATGTAATAGGAAACAGCGTAAACTTAACTTTTAATATGTTCTGGGAGACCAAATTCATTTGCCTCCCTTTATTGTAATATTCACTTTACTGTGGGGGTCTGGAGATGAACCTGTAATATCTGAGGTATGCCTGTATCACCATCTTTAAAAAAATGTGAAATTAGAGATTAGAAAGAATCTTTTTACTGATTGTTTTGGTGGTTTACAATATTTTTTCCTCAACTTTGTGATAGAAAGTTTGACCAGCTTCATGGAAGAATTCTTGGTTAAATGTCATGAAAGGATCTCCATTCAAAACTGGAACTGGTGAATAGGAAATGGAAATCTCACACATGCACGCTCAGAAGAACAGAACTGAAGAACTGAGAGACTATTTCCTGTAAATGCCTCACTTACTGAAAACCAAGACTTAATCTTCAGACCAATGAACATCCATCAAGAACCTCTCCTCATCCTCAAGCCAATGAGCTTACTGCTTGGACTCTGCCTGGACTTCCCCTCTTTGTACTCCTTGTCCATAAATACAGCTACCCCAAACACTGGAGCCTGCTACAGCATGCATTTCCCTAAACTGTAATTCTTCTTCTGTTAGTCACAAATAAAATCAATTTTTGGGTAATTCAAGTTCTCCTCAGTTGACTTTTTTGAGGTGACATTTTATAGGGGTCAAAAAAGAGGCATCTGAAGAAGACAACTCCTGAAAGGACAGTGACCATGAATTGGGGTGCACTTGGTTTGGATTTAAACCTATGGATTTTCCTCAGAGCAAAACTCAAACTAAAATGGATAGGCATAGGCTGAGCACCTCCATCCTGCAAAAACACTTGCCACTTTCATGAGACAGACAACAGTCTCTGAAGTACAAGAATCCCACATATGGGTAAGATGGGCATGGACAAGTAAGTGTCACTATTGGTTGCTTGCCACCCACAAGGAAATTCCATGCAATGAAGGATACCTGGTCAAAAGTCAGACAAAGTGGCAGAGTCAGTCATCCAGGAGAAACACGTATCCCTTGAAAGGCACACTGTTAAACAAAACCTATGTCCCAGCTCTCAGGCTATCTAGGATTTTTCTTTGCTCTTGGGAAAAGTCCAAAAGTGGGATCCCAGTCATCGAAATGGTCTAAGGGTGACCCCCCTTCAGGAAACCCAGCTGGGTTTATGTTAGACATTATGGTCTCTCCTTATGCACATTTTTTACTAAATGGACCAATCTTACTAAGACAATCTAAAATTACAATGGCCACTATGAGAAACATCCCAATTAGACAAGATCCTTCCTTTATGAAGTGCACTTGAAAGGGATCCCCCCCAAAAACAGAATGGGATACCAACTTTAATTGGCACACAGAAGCTCCTAGAAGCCTTCAAGATTTCATAATGGCTTCATTAGAAGATTCATTGAAAAAGGCTAATGAAAAGTTATAAGAGGAACCTAAAACAAAGACGTTAAGACTCAAGTGATTCCCACTGCTTTCTCCTATCCGCCTTTGAGTTCTCAGCCCACTAATCCTCTATCTGAATCCTCTTTCCATATTGAACAGACTGTAGGATCATAAACAGAAGTCTGCCAAGTTAGTGGCCTTAAAGGACACCCCCATAACTACCTTCAAAGGAGGGCCCTGAAGGACCTCTCCTAGGGTTGGTGGGACTCTGAGGTGTTCTCCTGTAACTGCTACCAGTTGTTCCCTTAAACAGCCAAGGGGAAAAAATTAATGTAAAATCTTGCCAAATTCTGGTAGATACTGGAGCTGCACGCTGTACTTTGAACCCCATTCACTCCAAAGCCTGTAGATGGGATCCCAAGAAAACCAGAGATGTTGGTGAAAGGTGAGAATTCTTACCAGACTCAGCTTTCTTGAATCTGTCTATAGTGCCCAGTTGGAAGAAAAATAAATTTTCATGTTGTCCCTTTCCAAATCCAGACCCTTTTTTTTAAATCCTTTATCTCTCAGGGAGATCTGCTGCCATCTTGTTTGCCCCATTTTGGGTCCTGAGAACTCAGCCCGGCAATCATCAGGTTGGGGGTGCCAAAATACTGCCAGACAGACCTAAACCCTCCATGTTTAGGTAGGGTCCTACTGACAACTGCCAGCTTTCAGAATTGTCCAAGTCTTTTTTCTTTTGTCTATCTTTGGAAGTTACTCTGGGTCTTGTGAGTGTGGTATCCTTTGCATCTTCAAGGAGGTTTGCATCGAAGAGGTTGTTCAACACTTTGTCCTGGTTAAACTCTGACAACATATTTGAAAAGATTTTTCTTAAGTAGCTCTATGGTCAGAAGTTGAAATTGAAAGCAGATATTCAGGACCTCACAGAAACACTTTTTTTTTTTTTTTTAAGACCTTCTCCCCTAACCTAAAATGAAACTATGTACCCAGAAGGAAAGTTAGAAAAAACAAAAAACCAACCACATTCCGAAGACAAACAGCTTGAAATCTAGAACACAGGAATCTTTTGATTTCCATCTTAGTTGGAGATCTTCTCCTTGATCTAAAGAAGCAAACTGAAGATAATGTAGTAGGATGGGTGGGTCAGCCTGTGTTGTCATTCAAGTTCCAACCCAATTCCTTGAGGAATTTATTTATTTATTTTTAAAGATTTTTATTTATTTGACAGAGAGAGCACAAGCAGAGGGAGACAGAGGGAGAAGCAGGCTCCCTGCTGAGCAAGGAGCCCGATGTGGGACTCGATCCCAGGACTCTGGGATCATGACCCGGCCCAAAGGCAGCCACTTAACCAACTGAGCCACCCAGGCGTCCCTCCTTGAGGAATTTAAAGCAATGTTCCTTGTCTTATAAAACTGAATCTTTGTAAGAACAAGAATGCAGCTCTAGAAGCAATTTAAATCCCACTTTTGTTTTCTTTTTTCTTTTTTTTTTTAACCACCAATCCCCAAACCCTCCCCTATTCATCTCAAAAGGCCTGCAGATGTTATAAAAGATGTGGTCTTAGGAAACCAGTGTCCTTCTTGGAGGAACTTGCATCCTTTCCATGGGCCTCTGAGAGGTCAGTATTCTCTCTGGTTGCCCCTAAGAACTCTTAACTAGGCCCATCTCTTTGAAGTGCAAACTTCAGGGAGTTTATTCTCATCAAAAGAAAAACTGGGGGGTAGGGAAAAGCCTTTTTAGAAGACTTAGATGAATTTTCTCAAGTGTCTTGTCCACAAATATTAGTAAAAAAACTTTTGCCTTCTTAGCAGTTAATTTAACTTATTCCAGCTTCCAGGAACATAATTTGGATTCAACTGTTCTTTCAAAAACTAGTGACTTTTGTATTGTACCTGGCTCATGGCTAAAATTTTACAACAGAAGCTATAAGATCTCTGTTGGGTCTGCCTGTGTTTTTATGTACACTTGCGTATGTGTGTATGTATGAGATAAATGTGTGACATTTTTCTACCTCTGGATGGTATGGCTAAAATTAATTTGGAAAAGAGCTCCATTTAATTGGCTTCAAGAAAAATAAGCACTTATCAAATTAAGTATTCCTAAAACTCAGAAGTACAAAAATGAACCCAAGTGTTTTTCAAGTTCACATGATCGAAGATAAATCTTTAGTAAATAATAGTTTGTGGGTGTAATTAAAACAAACCGGTCTTTAGAGCTGTCCGCATCAAATATTAAACTTTTGTTCTACCTAGTTGTACTGAAGGTCAGATAAGCTCATGTTATCCCTGTAACAGAATTTTTCAGCAAGAGAGAGAATTTAGGATGATGGTTAGCTGTTTAATGGCTCATGGAATTTTCATGAGTAATCTAAGCTTAATTACTAAGAAAAAGTGAATAAAGTAGATGTAAATAAAAGTTTATAAATGAACTTTTCTATTATTATTATTATGTTCAGCTAGCCAACATATAGTACATCATTAGTTTTTGATGTAGCGTTCAATGATTCATTAGTTGCGTGTGACACCCAGTGCTCATCACAACACTTGCCCTCCTTAAATACCCATCACCCAGTTACCCCTTCCCCCCATCGCCCTCCCTTCTGTAACCCTCAATTTGGTTCCCAGAGTCTCTCATGGTTTGTCTCCCTCTCTGATTTCTCCCTCTTCAGTCTTCCCTCCCTTCCCCTGTGGTCCTCTGCGCTATTCCTTATGTTCCACATAGGAGTGAAACCATATGATATCGGTCTTTCTCTGCTTGACTTACTTCACTTAGCATAATCCCCTCCAGTTCCATCCATGTCGATGCACATGGTAGGTATTCATCCTTTCTGATGGTTCAGTAATATTCCATTATATATATATACCGCATCTTCTTTATCCATTCATCTCGGCTCCTTCCACAGTTTGGCTATTGTGGATATTACTGCTATGAACACTGGGGTGCATGTGCCCCTTCTTTTCACTACATCTGTATCTTTGGGGTAAACACCTAGTAGTGCAATTGCTGGGTCATAGGGCAGCTCTATTTTTAATTTTTTGAGGAACATCCACAATGGTTCCCAAAGTGGCTGTACCAACTTGCATTTCCACCAACAGTGTAAGAGAGTTCCCCTTTCTCCACAACCTCTCCAACATTTGCTGTCTCTTGCCCTGTCAATTTTTGCCATTCTAACTGGTGTAAGGTGGTATCTCACTGTGGTTTTGATTTGGATTTCCCTGATGGCTAATGATGATGAACATTTTTTTCATGTGTCTGTTAGCCATTTGTAGGTCTTCTTTGGAGAACTGTCCATGTCTTCTGCCCATTTTTTGACTTGATTATTTGTTTTTTGGGTGTTGAGTTTGAGAAGTTCTTTATAGATCTTGGATACCAGCTCCTTATCTGTAATGTCATTTGCAAATATTTTCTCCCATTCTGTGGGTTGCCTCTTAGTTTTGTTGACTGTTTCCTTTGCTGTGCAGAAGCTTTTTATCTTGATGAAGTCCCAAAAGTTCATTTTTGCTTTTGTTTCCCTTGCCTTTAGAGATGGGTCTTGAAAGAAGTTGCTGTAATGTACTTTTCAACAATAATTGTACTTTATGGTAGGTGCTTTTAAAAATGTTTTCTAAACTTGTTGGTTACTTAAAAACTTAAAGTCATACTGAGAGAAGTTAAATGATGGGTATTCATTGAATGTTTACTGCAAACAATTGTTGAACATGGGTTGGTCTACTTCGGGCTTCCAATTTACAGAGGAACTAAAGATATTGTGCCCATGTTGGTAAACATGCCATACATTTCTAGAAGTGTATACTTCCAGGAATTAGGAAATGTTTTTATAAATTTGCCAGTAACACACAGTTCACAATTGTTTACCTAATCCTTACTAGAAATTAGGGTTTTTAAGGGTTAAGAATTCAAATATATTTAAATTAAAACTAGTAGAAATAAGGGAAACATCTCTGTATGCCAGGAAAGTAGAATGTTCTTTTAAGCAAAAAAAGTGTGAGGGATGGAGGTGCATTTCTGTTTAAAGTAAATTTGTCCCAAAGTAAATTTGGTTATTTCAGAATAGGAAAAAGGCAAATAAAGGGCGAAATGAATGGATTTAGAAAGTTGGGTGAATGGATTTAGCAAGTTGGGAAGAAAGAGAGGGAAATGGGTGGGGTAGGGAGAGAGAATCATACCTTGCATGGTCAAGCTGGCTCAAATTGAATTAGTTACAAGTTTGTTGTTTTTTTTTTTTTTTTTAGTAAGCTTTACTATGAATAGTGTACTTATGTAAAACTCAACCTTAAATTTTCTTTCATCCACTGAAAAGAAAACTTTTCTTGGGCTATTGGTCTGCTCCTGGTAAGAGATTGTGAAGGGTTTTTCTTTACCTTTCGGGTTAATTGCCTGGACAGCAAAGATTTTGTGTCTTAACAAAATAAGTGAATGTGCTTTTATGTTGTCCTTACCAGGTCTTTGTTTACTTCAGAAAACCCATTCATCCTCAATATTCAAAGAACTAAGTTTTGTTCACAACCTAGGTAAGCTTCCATGTTTGCCCTTAAGATCTTCTCTTTTACTTTGGTTAAATAATTAGGTATTATTTCATAATAGTCTGTGATCCTATTTAGTCAAATGTTCAAAGTCTGACATTTCGACAACTTCCCCAAATCAAATTCTAAGTCTTTTTTTTTTTTTAAACCTCAAAGTAGCTTTGAGATTTCCCACAGGGTCACTAAAAAAAAATCTCAAAGGACTTGCCTCTCATTTGGTAAAATGTTAAACTAATTAGGTTTATTTGACATGTTAAGTTACATGGGATGTGTTCTCAAATAAGTGATGCTAAGCCTTCTTAGCTTATATTTGTATAGATGCATGTTCTTAATTCAAGTCTTCTAGAAATTTATGAAATTCCTAGAAATCTGGTATGTTCTGGTATAATTTTATCAGTCATAATTCTAGTTATCTTAAAATGTTGGAAGGGGAGGGGCACCTGGGTGGCTCAGTCGTTAAGCGTCTGCCTTCGGCTCAGGTCATGATCCAAGGGTTCTGAGATCAAGCCCCGCATCAGGCTCCCTGCTCAGTGGGAAGCCTGCTTCTCCCTCTCCCACTCCCCCTGCTTGTGTTCCCTCTCTGTGTTTCTGTCAAATAAATAAAATCTTTAAAAAAAAAAAAAAATGTTGGAAGGGGAGCAGAAAGTTTTTGGCAAAATATTATTTTAGGCTAATTTTTAAGAAATAGCAGACCTAGAAAAATCTCTGAAAACTGAGTAGAAATTACCCTTTTCTAAGAAACATATACATTTATAGGTAAAATCTCCAATTGTAAGAGGGTCTTCCTCTTTGTACCAGAAGAGGAGGTCTTTAAATCCCTGGAAACTCTTATCAATGGAGAAGGGAAAGACTTAAAACTGCATAACAACCTACCTTTGTTTTCCATGCTCTTCAGGGTAACCTCCCATAACTGGCCCTCCCCAACAACATTTTTTTTTTTTTTTTTTGTCTTTAACTGGAGATGCTATTTAAGGTGGTGGGTTGGGCCATTTCAGGGAGCCACTCAGTTTTCCCAAGTATCTCCCATTTATACAGGTGGTATACAAGTTGTTACTAAACTTGTTTGTTTCTCTTCTGCCAATCTGTCTCTTACCATAGGGTAGTCTCAGACAAAAACCTAGAAGGAAATGTAGAGGGAAAATTATTTTTCCTCTCACTCAGTGATGTGTCACAGAAACAAAATTTCCTTGTCAATCCCATTATAACAAACTCTCATCAGATTTGTAACCATGGGCATTTTTAAGTCGTTTTGGTCATTTACAGATACTCTTGTACTTTTATGGTTTTGCAAAAGTGAGATTCATGGGAAGGACTTTACTAAGTGCCCTTGACCACTGACCCTACTGGTAAGTCACAAAGAGTCACATGTTGGGTGATTACTTCACAAAAGGCTCCACCTGACATCAGGTCCTGTGCAAAAGCTGGAGACCTCAAAATAAAATTGACTAGTAAAAGAGGAGTAGCCAACATCAAAGTAGACCACTTCCTTCCAACTCATTGGATCAAGGACATTTCTTTGCCTTCCTTCTTCCCTCTTTGACAGTATTTTCCTAATTTTTATACCATGAAGATCTTTAGGATTCTTTTGTTCATCTTTCATCCTGCTCTGGACTGGAAAGATAATGCCATTGTTCACTAATCTCAGGCCATTGCCAGTGGGGGTAATCTAACCTCCAAATGACTGTTAGATCTGCCACAATGCTGGTGGATCCTGTGGTTCTGTCAGAAACTTCCCGCTGATTTCCAATGCCTCAGTTTCTCTAGAACAAACTCAGCCCCCTCTTGTTCACATCAGACTCCCTAACACTAGGTGTCCATTTCCCTGTCCCTAGTTAACAACCTCACATCTCAAAAAACTTGCTTCTGGGCTCTGTACTAAGAAAGGGACAAGGCAAGGGTAACCAAAATAAAACCACTTTTTGGTCTATAGACCTTTAAATTTTATTGGCCTCCATAGCGGTTAGTTTTCCAGTCCTGAACCACAGACTCAAATGAATTACCAGGAGGCATTCATGATTCAAAATTCACTTCCCTTGGCAGACCCCTACTCCTTTGGCTAGGAGTACATACAGATGATGCTAGCATTAGGAACCTCTCCTTACCTCTTGAAGATACTGCAGAACCTGCTTCTCAAAAAATAGCTGCCCAACAAAAATTCCTAGGCTCTGGCAAAAGCTTTTTTTTTTTTTCTTTGTAAACAGTACGGTTTTATACAAATATAAAGTTATGCACCTTCAAAAGCTATCACTCCAATAAAGACACTTATTCAATTAAACATCTTTTTAAAAATTTTAATAATGTATAAATACATTCCACAAAATAATCTGCTGGTTAAAAGACACCAACAAAGTTTATAGAACCTACAACAGAATTTATAGACTCCTACGACCGCTTGTAGATTGTGACATATATTAAGAAATACCATTAATACAAAGGCATGATTTATAATATCCCCATTATAGCGAGAAAAAAATAGATTCATACAATAAAATGTCTTTTAGGCATTTATTATGCCAAGTATTTAAATGATTATTCTCACTATGACATAAGAATAATACTCCTTTAGTGATAAAAGATAAATTTCATTAGGCCAAGGCCCACTGAAGAGCTTCCAGGAAGTTTTAAAGTAAAATCTGGCTTTCCCTTCCAAAAAATAAATAGATCAGCAGCAATCTCAAAGGAATCCCCTAACCATAAACTGTGAAAATTCCATTTACATTAATTGGGCCTTAAGGACATGAGTTATTACAAATAAAAATAAAATTTACAAACTAGTTAACCACTGGCCCACATTTGTTTTTTACCTGCCTGTGAGTGACTAAGATAAGACGTTTCGTCACGAAGTATACATTAAGGTGTAAAATTAACAATTATCTCTAACTTACACGTGAGCCAAAGTGCTCACTCTTCCCATGGAAGCAAAACTTTCTTCTGACAATAATCTACAGAAATAATATGTACACACCTAGATTTCTGAGACAGACCGAGATCATCCTCCTATATTCTACGGATCCAAATGCAAAGGTCTCCATTACGTATGTACATGAACGCACTTTCAGTAATTTGGGATATACGGACATTACAGGACTACGTGCATACATGTATAAACCAGGAACCAATTTTGACAATGTTCCTGGCCACACCATACTTTCAAGCCCCAAAATGCAAGAGAATAAAAACTTGATATGCAAACTAAACTGTCCATTTTTTTTTAAAGTAAATTTTAAACCGGAAAAACAAACCCAACACTCCTCTTTGCAATACGCACTGAGTTCCAAAAGCCTCAGAGTCAAGAATCTCTTCAGCTGTTCCCCAATGCAACAGGACACATGAGCTTGCTCTCACTCTCTTCAGGAAGTCTGCTCATCTCCGGTGTTTTGTTTTATTTTTTTATTTATTTATTTTTTTTTAGATTTTATTTATTTATTCATGAGAGACAGAGAGAGAGAGGCAGAGGGAGAAGCAGGCTCCCAAGGAGCAGAGAGCCCGATGCGGGACTCGATCCCAGGACCCTGGGATCATGACCTGAGCCGAAGGCAGACGCTTAACCATCTGAGCCACCCAGGCGCCCTGGTGTTTTGTTTTAAAAACTGCTTTCCGAGATAAGATGTAGCCATGTTGGTTGAATTCTTCCTGCTGCCCACTTTGCACCTGATGTAACCTTACAGGTTGGCACCTTGTAGCACCACACCCATGATAACCACAACCACTTCGCTCTGAAGGAGAAGAGCGCGCTGAAGGCGAATATCACCCACAGCACTGGACAGGCAGTAAGTCCTAACCAAAAAATCCTTGATTCAGCCTCAGAAACAGGTTTACTCTCTTGAGCGGATGCCTTCCTGGACTCAAACACCCAGTGGCTTTTTCCATCTTCATCTATGTGATTCCACCAACGCAGACCAACCATGAGTCTACCTGTGACATTCTTGACAGCCCGAAAGTCACACGACAACAAGATAATTGTCACCATACAGGCAATAAAGCTGCTGCTGAACAATTCACAAAGAAGATAGACTACAACTGCACTGACTCGAAAGAGTAAATGGAAAAATGATGCCACTGGGTGTCTGATCTTGGATTTTTTTGGTCTGTTAGTGGTCTCCTCTTCCGCATCAAACAGGGAAACATCCTCCGTGTCATCATTACTATCCTGCTGCAACATGACGGCCCTGCACCAGCCCCACTTCCAGGAGCCACCCAAAGCTGTTCTTGATAATAGGATAGTTTTTGATTATCTCTTAGCAGAGCCAGGAGGAGTCTGTGCTATGGCCAGCACCACTTGATTCACTTAGGTGGACTCTTCCAGCAAAGCCAAGGCTCAGCTATACAAGATCACTGAACCAGCCAGTTGTCTTTAAGGGACTCTCCTTCAACGAAGGTTTCTCTTTCACTTGATTCTGATTGGTTTGGATCTTGGGGACCATGGTCCCAAACTACACTCTAGATCGTGGGGATTATCCTCCTTATAATCTTATAATAATCATAGTAGTTGCCCTGGTGAGCTGTATTAAGAATACTGTCTTTATGCTTATCAATTGACCACGGAAATTGAGCTAGCCAGCCCAGAAGAGCATGGCTGAGAGTCTTCATTTCTTATTCCTTTTGTTGTCCAAATAAGACCAATGATATCCACTTGCCATTTCCCTCCTACATGGGACAAGACACGGGAGATGTTTGTCCTCAGCTCCACGGGATGTGCACTCCATCTAATGATGTTTTTGATTGAGGGGAAAAAAAAAAAAGGAAAATAATGCTTAAGTGACATGGTGGATGAGCAATGCTTTCTGTGGACGATCCTGATTGAGAGAGGTAGAAGTAAAAGGATTTCTATCTAAAATAGAACTGGAGGATATGAAATGGATCATCTCACACATATACCCTCAGAAGTATGAAACTGAAGAACTCAGATACTGATTCCCTGTAAATTCCTGATTTACAGCAGACCAAGACTTATCTCCTGACCAGTGACCACCACCAAGACTCTCTCCCCATCCTCAAGCCAATGAACTTAGTGCTTAGACTCTGGCTGGACCTCCTCCTCTTTGTACTCCTTGCCCATACATATGTCCTGCCCCAAGCCCTCAGTGGACTTGCCCGTAGCTTGCTACAGCATGCATTTCCAAATTGCAATTCCTCTGCTATTCCTGAAAAAAACTCAATTTCTGGTAATTTGGGTTCACCTCAGTTTACCTATTTAGGGTGACAAAGTTATAGAAGTCAAATTCAAACTAGCTTGAACAAAATAAAAAATTCACTTATACACACAACTGGGAAGTACAGGGCTGGATTCAAGTACAGCTGACTGGTTTGAAAATCAGCCCTTTGCAGTGCCAGACTCATGCGGTCCAACTTAGCCAACGTAGCAGACGATAGCTCTTCTCTTCCCGACATCGGTTTGGCCAATCTGAGTATCTGGGAGAGACAGAGTATAAGAGTCCCCAAAGGATGGGGTGGAGGCATGCTATATCAAGGTAAATAACACAGTCAAAAAACTAAGAGCCTACTGGAAAAGTGAAGAGTAAATACATTGCTGTATTTCACAATGTTGTTGCTATGGGAGCCCAGAAGAATGAGGGACCAAATCTTTGTTTTAAAAAGTCAACCTGGGGTGCCTGAGTGGCTCAGTTGGTTAGGCGACTGCCTTCGGCTCAGGTCGTGATCCTGGGGTTCTGGGATCGAGCCCCACATCGGACTCCCTGCTCCGTGGGAAGCCTGCTTCTCCCTCTCCCACTCCCTCTGCTTGTGTTCCCTCTCTCGCTGTGTCTCTCTCTGTCAAATAAATAAATAAAATCTTAAAAAAACAACAACCAAAAAACTAACCAACCAAGAGTCAATCTTCCATGATTAATATACGTGTTATATCATCTGAGTAAATCCACAGAATCCTTAGACCTTTATACCTCATTTCTCTTCAGCACAGCATCTCCTCATAAAAACTCTACAGCTTTTTAAAAATTTTTATTTATTTGACAGAGAGAGAGACACAGCGAGAGAGGGAACACAAGCAGGGGGAGCAGGAGAAGGAGAAGCAGGCTTCCTGCCGAGCAGGGAGCTTGATGTGGGGCTCGATCCCAGGACCCTAGGATCATGACCCGAGCCAAAGACAGATGCTTAAAGACTGAGCCACCCAGGCGCCCCCAAACTCTACAGTTTATTTGACCTTCTACCTCCCACTTTCACTCCCAATAGCCACTCCTTCATCTTGAGAAGACTTATTCTAACTTTTAAATGAACAGTATTTTCTAGTTAGAATACTTGCCCAAAATAGGTTGAGCTTATTTTTCAATTGTTCCTGTATGCATTATCATCATTAAGATTTCCAATGGGGAGGCAGTGGGACAGGTGAGAAGCAGCAGGAAAATTAAATTCCAGTTTAAAAAGCAAACTTCAGGCATCCTCATTCTGAAATGCCTTTTAAGTACATGCAAAATTTCAGATACTTAAACTGGAGGACACTTAAAAATATTTAAATATTGAGACATTCCTTCATAGAATCCTGAAGAGGAAAAAATACAAGTGAAAAGCCCTGATATTAAAAATAAATATAACTAAACATGCATAAAGGTTGACTCATTCAGGTAAATTCCTCAGAGGCCAATTGGTATTTCCATGGCTGGGGACAACAGAAAAAAACAAAACAAAACTATTTTTGAGGACGCCCAAAGCCGATTACCTATGACCAGCACAGAAACATAAAAGGTGAACATAGGCTTTTAAAAAGGAACTTTGGTTTCCAAAGAAAACATCTTTTTAGGTGTATCAGAAGTATTTAGGAAAAATAGGTTGTACATCAATGCTGATCTCAACTCAGGAAGGGAAACAAGTCATTTAAAATGCACTATTCATGGCTCCCTTAAAAAGGGGGAAAGGTTCTGAGGAGGGAGGGATTCAAACCCCACATTGGGCACCCACTGCACTGGGGACCTGCACCAGGAAGATGAGCTCTCATCATGTCTGGCTTTGGAAATCAGCAGGACTTCACCTGGAGAGCCAGAAGGCTATAGGAAACGGAGGCATAGAAATTTTCACCAGCAATGGAAGCACTGGCAGGAGCCGTTTTCCCTGTCCTCCTTCAGTGTAGCTGGCCTCATGCTGGCAGCTACAGTTCTGACATTCTTTATCTACATTGCTAGCACCACTCACCCAGCTTCAGTGTTCCCCTGCTGACTTGCCACACCCAACCCATCTGCACAGCAAGGGCCCCCCAGTGCTGCACCCACCCCACCATGCCCAGCCAACAGCTTTAGCTTGGACCAGTGCCCCTTCAAATTGTCTCCTGCCCCAAGGACGAAGAGGCCAGCCCCACCACCAGCATGCCCACAACAGCTGCAGCCAAGTTTTGCAGCCAGCCACACCAGGGGCTAACCCCACCCACTAGTATGCCTGCAGCAGCTGCAGCAAAGCCTCTCAGCCGGCTGCGCTGGGGGCCAGCCCCACCCACCCGTGCACCCACAGCAGTCATGGCCCAGCCACAACAGGAGAGTGCATGCAGTCTCTACAGTAGATATCCCTGGAGCACCTTGTCCTGGGGGCTGGGGGATTGCATTTCTGGGACCCATAGGATGCCTTCTACCTAAGACCACTGACTTCAAGACCAGGAGACGTAGTTGATTTACGTAATAGATAGCAACAAACCCAGGGAGTCAGACAAAATAAGGAGATAGGAATATGCTCCAAATGAAAGAACAAGACAAAAACCTCAGAAAAAGAATGAAATGAAGTGGTGATAAGCAATAAAGAGTTAAAAATAATGGTCATTAAAGATGCTCACTCAACATGGGAGAAGAGTGAATGAACTCAGGGAGAACTTCAATAGAAAGTATTAAGAAGAACTAATCAGAACCGAAGAATAACAGCAATGAAGAATAAGCTCGAAGGACTCAACAGTAGATGAAAGGGCTCAGAAGAATGGATCAGAGATCTGGAAGACAGGGTGTGGAAGTCATCCAAACTGAACAGCAAAAGGAAAAAAAAAAAAATTAAAATGAGGATAGGTTAAGAGAGACCTCAGGGAGAACATCGAGTGTACCAACATTTGCACTATTGCAGTATTGCATTATGTAGGGGTCCTGGAAGGAAAGTCAAAAAGGGGAAGAAAACTTGTTTTAAGAAATAGCAGCTGAGGGCGCCTGGGTGGCTCAGTTGGTTAAGCAACTGCCTTCGGCTCAGGTCATGATCCTGGAGTCCCGGGATCGAGTCCTGCATCGGGCTCCCTGCTCAGCAGGGAGTCTGCTTCTACCTCTGACCCTCCCCTCTCTCATGCTCTATCTCATTCTCTCTCTCAAATAAATAAATAAAATCTTTAAAAAAAAAAAAAAAAGAAATAGCAGCTGAAAACTTCCCTAACTTTGGGAAGAAAACAGACATCCAGGTCCAGGAACAGAGCTCAAGAGAAGATAAATCCAAAAAAGTTCACACCAAGACACATAATAACGATGTCAAAAAATTGATACATAGAGAATCCTAAAAGAAGCAAGAGAAAAGCAAGTAGTTACATATAAGCTAACACCCTAAGACTATGAGCTGATTTTTCAGCAGAAACTCTGCAGCTACAAGTGGCAGGATATACTCAAAGTGCTGAAAGAAAACACTTACAACCCAAAATACTCTACCCAGCAAAGTTATCACTTGAAACTGAAGGAGTTTCCTAGACAAACAAAAAACTAAAGGAGTTCATTCACCACTAAACTGGCCCTACAAAAAACGTTAAGAGAACTTCTTTAAGCAAAAAAGAAAAAGCTATAAATAGAAGTGAGAAAATTATGAAAGAATAAATTTTCCTGGTAAAAACAAACATATAGTGAAGGTAGTAGATCAACTGCTTATAAAGCTAGTGAGCAGTAAAGTCAATGATATCTATAATAATTAGGCAGGGGATACACAATATATTTAAAATATGGATGTAAAATAGGACAATAAATACATAAATCATGGAGATGAGGAAATAAAATTGTAGCGCTTTTAGTATGTTTTGGAATTAAGCAAACTTCAACTTAAAAAAAGACTGCTATATACATAGGGTGTTATCTATGAATCTCATGGTAACCACAAACCAAAAACCTCTAATAGATACCTAAAAAATGAAGAGAAAGGAATCCAAGCATAACACTAAAGGCTATCAATACTTTTATCAGACAAGATGGACTTTAAAACAAAGACCGTATCAAGAAGCAAAGAAGGGTATTACATAATGACAAAGTGATCAATGCAACAAGAGGACACAACAATTGCACATATCTCTGCACCCAACAGAGGAACACCTAAATATATAAAGGAAATATTAACAGACATAAAGGGAGAAAATGCGGGTAATAATAGTAGGGGAGTTCAACATCATTTACATCAATGCACGGATCATCCAGACAGAAAATCAACAAGGAAACAGTGGCTGTTAATGACACACTAGATCAAATGAATTTAACAGAAAATACAGAACATTCCATCCCAAAACAGCACAATACACTTTTCAAGTGCACATGGGGTTCTCCAGGACAGATAACATGTCAAGCCACAAAACAAGTCTCAAAAAATTTAAGATACGGAAATCATATGGAGTCTCTTTTTTAACCACAATGCTCTAAAACTAAAAAAAAAAAAACAAAACTAGAAAAAATATTCTAGCATTGTTTAACTTTATGTTAAACAACATGCTACTAAACAACCAATGGGTCAATGAAGAAATCGAAAAGGCAGTATTAAAAACACCTGAAGACAAATGAAAATGGAAACACAAGTTCCAAAATCTTTGGGACAGAGCAAAAACAGTTCAAAGAGGGAAGTTTATAGCAATTTAGGCCTACCTCAACAAACAAGAAAAATCTCGAATAAACCTGATTGTACACATAAAGGAGCTAGAAAAAGCAGCCCAAAATTAGAACGAAATGTTACCTATCAAAGCAGAAATAAATGAAACGGAGACTAAAAAACAATGAAATGATCCATGGAACTAAGAGTTGGTTCTTTGAAAAGATAAACAAAATCGATCCAACTTTAGTCAGATGCATCAAACACACACACACACACACACACACACACACACACACACCCTTAACAGAACTCAAAATCAGAAATGAAAGAGAAGTTACAACCTAAGTACAAACAACAGAAATACAAAAGATTGCATGAGACTATGAAAAATTATACATCAACAAATTGGACAACCTAGAAGAAATGGATAAATTCCTAGAGACATACAATCTTTCAAGACTGAATCAGAAAGAAATGAAAAATCTGAACAGACCAATTAGTAGTAATGCAACTGAATGCATAATAAAAATCAAAACCAAAACCCAACAAAAAAAAGCCAAAGACCAGAACTGTTCACGGTTGGATTCTACCAAACATTTAAAGAGTTATTATCCAGTCTTCCCAAACTACTCAAAAAAAAAAAAAAAAAAAAAAGAGGAAGGAACACTTCCAAATTCATTCATTACCCTGATACCAAAACCAGACAAAAGCACTACAAAAAAAGTTACACACCAACATCCCTGATGAACACAGACGCAAAAATCCTCAACAAAATAATAGCAAACCAAATTCAACATTATACTCAAAGATGCATTCACCACAATCCAGTGGGATTTATTTCAAGGATGTGGGGATGTTTCAGTAGTCGCCAATCAATGTGATACATCATATTCACAAAATGAAGACTAAAAATCATACAATCATCTCAGTAGCTTCCAAAAAAAAATCTTTGACAAAACTGAGCATTCATTTATGATTAAAAACAAACAAACTTCTCAACAAAGTGGGTATAGAGGAAACATACCTCAACATACTAAAAGGCTACACATAACCCGTAGCTGACATCATACTCAATGGTGAAAAGCTGAAAGCTTTTCCTCTAAGATCAGCAACAAAACAAGGATGTTCACTCTCATCACTTTTATTCAACATAGTGCTGGAAGTCCTAGTCACCAGCAATCAGTCAACAAAAAGAAATAAAAGGCATCCAAACCGGTAAGGAAGAAGTAAAACTGTCACTATTTGCATTTAACATGATACTATACATAGAAAACCCTAAAGACGCCACAAAAAAGAAAACAAAAACCAAAAACCTATTAGAACTAATATAAGAATTCAGTAAACTTGCAGAATATAAAATTAACATACAAAGAAATGTGTTGCATTTCTATACACTAATAATCAAAGGGAAATTAAGAAAACAATTCCACTTATAATTGCATCAAAAAGAATAAAATATCTAGGAATAAATTTAACCAAGGAAGTGAAAGACTTGCACTCTGAAAACTCTAAGACAATGATGAAAGAAATTAAAGACATAAACAGAAAGATAGCCCATGCTCGTGGATTGGAAGAATTAATATTATTAAAATGTCCATCTTGGGGGCACCTGGGTGGCTCAGTCATTTAAGCGCCTGCTTTCAGCTCAGGTCACAATCTCAGGGTCCTGGGATCGAGCTCTTTATCGGGAGTCTGCTTCTCCCTCTCACTCTCCCTTGGTGTTTCTCGCTCTCTCGCTCGCTCTCATTCTCGCTTGTTTTCAAATAAATAAATAATAAATAAAATTTAAAAAATGCATCTTACTCAAAGCAATCTACAGATTCAATGCAACCCCTTTGAAACACCAATAGCATTTTCCACAGAACTAGAATAATCCTAAAATTTGTGTGGAATCACCTAAAACTCCAATTAGCCAAAGCAATCATAAGAATAACAAAGAGGAAAGCATCACACACCCAGATTTCAAACTGGACAGCTGAATGCAAAGGAATAAATCAAAGGAATAAATTCAACTGGACAGCTGAATGCAAAGGAATAAATCTGGACCATACCCAAAAATAAATTCAAAATGGATTAAAGACCCAAATCTAAGACCTGAAACCATATAACTCCTAAAAGAAACCAGGCAGTAAACTCTTAGACAATAGTCTTAGCAATATATCTACTAATCTGCCTCCACAGGCAAGAGCGACAAAAGCAAAAACAACTGGGACTACATCAAACTAAAAAGCTTTTGCACAGTGAAGGAAACCACCAACAACACAAAAAGCGTCTGAATGGGAGAAGGTATTTGCCAATGATATACCTGGTAAGGGTGAATATCCAAAACATGTAAAGAACTCCTACAACTCAAATCACTACAATTTGATTAAAAATGGGCCGAGGACCTGAAAAGAAAAATATTTTCTCAGAGAAGACATACAAGATGGCCACGAGACACATGAAAAGATGCTCAACATCACTGATCATCAGGGAAATGCAAGTCAAAACCACAATGAGAGATCACTCTACATCTATCAGAATGGCCAAAGTCAAAAAGACAAGACATAACAAGTGTTGGTGAGGATGTGGACAAAAAGGGACCCTCATGTGCAGTTAGTGAAGAATGTCAACTGGTGCAGCCAGTATGGAAAACAGTAGGATGTTTTCTCAAAAAATTAAAAATAGAAATACCATATGATCCAGCAACTACAATTCTGCTTGCTCAAAGTAGATGAAAACAGACTAATTCAAAAACATATATGCACCCCTATGTTCATGGCAGCATTATTTACAATGGTCAAGGAATGAAAACAACCTAAGTGTCCAGTGACTGATGAATGGATAAAGAAGATGGGTATACATATACAATGCAGTAGTACTCATCAAGAAAAAAGAATGAAATCTTGCCATTTGTGACCACATAGATGGACATAGAGGATATTAGGCTAAGTGAAATAAACAAGATAAATACAAATACCGTAGGAGTTCACTTATATATGGAATCTAAGAAATAAATGAACACAACAAAAAATAAACAGACTCATAAATACAGAGAACAAATTGGAGGTTGCCAGAGGGGATGGTGGTGGGAGAATGGGCCAAGTAGATGAAGGGGATTTAGAAGTGGAAATTTCCGGGGGGTGGGAGGATGGGTTAGCCTGGTGGTGGGTATTGAGGAGGGCACATTCTGCATGGAGCACTGGGTGTTGTGCACAAACAATGAATCATGGAACACTTCATCTAAAACTAATGATGTAATGTATGGGGATTAACATAAGAATAAAAAATTTAGCACTCAAAAAAAAAAAAGTGGAAATTTCCAGTTATAAAATAAATAAAGTCATGGGGATGTAAAGTATAGCAGAAGAATATAGTCAATAATATTGTAGTAACTGCGTATGGTGATCAGTGGTAACTACACATCGCAGTGAGTATTTTGTAATGTATACAGATGTCCAATCACTATTTGTACAACTGAACAGCATGAAATGTCAACTATTGTTCAATTGAAATAAATATCCCTTAAAAGAATCCATTTAATCATTAGTCTCAGAAAACAACAACAACAACAAAAACGGGGCAAGTTAGCTGGAATCTTGGCTAGCATAAACACAATATGATGAAATTATATAATGAACACATCCTAGAACATAATAAAAGTTTAGAAAAGTTATAAACAACTTAGCACTTCCTCTATGGGAGACCCCTGTCTGGTTTCTTTTGAGTTGTCTTCGTTTGTCAAATATGTATATAATTATTGTGTATTTCAATGCGCAGACGAGTAAAGAGACTGACCGAGGCAGGGATCTAAAATCTGCCAGAAGAGCTAGGGGAAAACTCCAATACAGACAAGGCACAGAAACCTTTGAAGGGACTGAGTGGGAAGGTATTATAATAGGGCTGGTATCCGGCTGCTTGAGGAAAATGGAGAAATCTGCAAACATTTGATGGTTCACAGCGTAAAAATGCAAAGAAGGTATAGGACCCTAGGGTTTTTCCTAGGATTAACAGAAAACAAGCATACTTCCTTGGGTAAATATGGTTGTTTTGAGCTAGTATCAGAAGAAAATCTGCTTGCTAGGAGTCTCCAGGGGGTGTATTGTTTCTGCCCGAGAACAACACAAAGGTGTCTTTTAGAATAAGCAAAACCAGGGGCGTGGCTCAGTCGTTAAGCGTCTGCCTTCGGCTCAGGTCATGATCCTGGGTCCTGGGATCGAGCCCCGCATCGGGCTCCCTGTTCCGCGGGAAGCCTGCTTCTCCCTCTCCCACTCCCCCTGCTTGTGTTCCCTCTCTCGCTGTGTCTTTCTCTGTCAAATAAATAAATAAAATCTTTAAATAAAAAAAAATAAGCAAAACCGAGTTTGGTTTGGCGTGTGTATCATCATTCTAAGGGCTGTGGCCCTTTAAATCCTGCTCTCCTGTGTACAAACTTAGTTTAATGTTAGTTTCACTTAATAAAGATTTTTTACTTTTATAGAAAAACTGTAACAGAATGGATGATGGGCTAGATTCACCCTCCAATTTTTTATGCTCAGTGGAGCCATAATTTAACCCTGCCAGTTCTCGTTGCATACTGAGCATCTCCACCAAAACACCCATTATCCCAGAGGCAAGGAGGGGAAAAAAAAAACCAAAAAAACACAAAACAACTTTCTGCAGAGGCTCTACCCAAGACACGACTGTCCCTGTTGAGGGGACTGCATTTTGCAGGAGAACACAGAGTATTTACCATTAGTATCTGAACATCTCACCTACACAGAAATGAGAAGGTCAAAGTGACCACACTACACGGGAATCTTCCCATTATAAAGGGATTACAGGATCCCTTTGAAGTAGCATCTTCTCAGAAGTTTATTTATAAATTAAATAACAAAGGAAGCCAATGACAAAGGAAGGCGTTGCTGATCAAATACCCATTAGTATTTTAGGTTTGTGTTTGTCATACATTCTAAGTATTTTAAAATAGATATTTAACCTAAAAGGTTACCCTAAAATCGTGTCTAAACCACTCACCTGGTAGCTCCTAACCAATAGGCTGAGTACCTAGAAAGAAACGCCGCCTTATGGGCGCCTGGGTGGCTCAGATGGTTAAGCGTCTGCCTTCGGCTCAGGTCATGGTCCCGGAGTCCTGGGATCGAGTCCCGCGTCGGGCTCCCCGCTCTGTGGGAAGTCTGCTTCTCCCTCTGCCTCTCTCTCTCTCATGAATAAATAAATAAAATCTTAAAAAAAAAAAAAAAAGAAAAGAAACGCCGCCTTAGCCGTATCAGGCTGGCAAAGCCCGAATCTATCACATTCACTGGGACTTAAGAATAGGGATGGGCATTTCAAAAATTGAGCCTTCAAAAGACATTTATTTTAATTTTTTAAAAATGCAATCCAATGAGCAGTACCTCTCATATTTAAAGCTTGCCTTCAAGAAATACTTAGATAGGAAAAAGCCTGGAGCAGAGATCAGCAAACATTTTACGTAGAGGGCCAGATCGCAAATATTTTAGGCTTTGCAAGCTGTACGGTCCCTGCCACAAATATTTAACTCTGTCATTGTGTGACAGCAACCACAGACGATATGTAAATGAACGAACGGCCGTGTCCCAATAAAGCTTTATTTATAAACAATGGAATGTGAATTTTATGTAAGTTTAAGGTGTCTGGTAGCACGTTCTTTTTGATTTGTCCGACCATTTAAAACTGTGGAAATCATTCTTAGCTTGCTGGATTCATAAAAAAGAGGCTGTGGGTCGGGTTTGACCAGGGGCCAGAGTTTACGTGCACACACACACTTCAGACTCTTTCTATAAACAAAGGCTGACATCAGAAAACTGTACCCACCCATGAGGGAGAAATGGGGTTGTAACTCCTTTTATTAACTGAAGGCTATATCAACTCCAGGGGTGGGGGATGGAAGGAATAAGTATTTGTTGAAAACCTAGCATGGTGACAGGTGCGATCCTTAAGCCTTTCCGAACAACACTAGGAGAGGTTACTTAAACACGTACGCTTTTCCTAGAGGGGGAAAGAAACTCAGAGATGAACGGCTTTGCCTAGACCTGGTTCCCAGGGAGGATTTGAACCTGGGTCCGTCTTCAGAAAACATGAAGTTTTCCTGGGAGGAATGGAGCTGATGGGGAAGATGGGAGGAGAAGAGCTGCCCTGAGAAGACGGGGGAAAATAACAAACAAAACAAAACCAAACCTCAGGAAGCAGGAGCTTTGGGGCTGCCGGGAACAGAGCTGGCCTGGGCTGGAGCATGGATCAGAGAGTGAGCATTCACTGTTCTGCTACGTAGCAGAACCAGAGACCACCCCCCCCATCAACCCAAACTGACTGGACAGTGTGACCCCAGATGGGCCCATGGTGCTGGGGCCAGCTGTCCTGAAGCGGACCGCTAAAAATGGAATTTAATTAGGGCCACACCATACAGCAAATCACCCCCCCCAGACAAAAGCTATAGCTTTACCACTGTTGTTCCAAGAGACAGTGTTTATATGGACTTCTGGCATTTCTTTTTTTTCCCCCTTTTAACAAATACATAATCCCTGTGTAGACACTTGAGAAAAATATAAATAAGGACTACAAATTAAAAATTGTCCATCCAAATAATCACAGTTCACATTTTTGGGTAATATCCTTTAAGTTTTTCCAGCCTTTTATCTGCAGGTTTTGAAGTGGGGACTACATTATTCACACGGCTTTTTGCGCCAAACGTATCGCAGACATGTTTCTATGTCATTTCCCAAAGGCAAATCTACAAGATGCCCAAGATGCCCCCCAAAACAAAGCAGAAGACCGTAATCAAAAAGACTTGTGCAAATCTTCGCTGTGTTGGCGCCCCCGGTGTTAACGATACTTATCAGACCAGAGCGAGGTTTGCAAAGAGCTCGGGTGGAGAAACCTGTTCACGTTGCCAGAGAATCTCAAACTTACATAATCACGGGATCCTTCTGGAATGTAACATTGGAAAATTGATATTCTACAGAATATCCTTGGTCAAAAGCTGTTCTACATCATTTGTAATGGTGCCTAATATTCTGTTATTTAAATGATCCATTATGAACTATTATAAACAATACCACCATGTCCAGTTCTGCAACTAAATCTCTGCACACATTCATGGTAATTCCTTGGACATGCAATTGCTTTGTCAAGGATGTGAACATTATAGTTTTCTTTTTTCAGAAATGGGTATGGTCATTAAAATTTTCTGTGGTTCACGAAAGAACTTGAATGCTACCTTTCGCTTTTAACTTTACTTCATTAGTAATTAATACTGAGACACTGAATCAGGCAAGTCTCTACTAGATGCTTAATATTCCATGTCTACACTAAGACCAACATGAAAAAGCAATGGAAACTCTCGTATACTCCTGGTGAAAATACAAATTGGTACTTTGCAAAACCGTTGGCACACTTGACGTATTAGTTTTCTAGTGCTGTATAACCAAGTACCACAAACTTAGTGGCTTAAAACAAAACCGTTGTTAACTCACAGTTCTGTAGATCCATCTGACACAGGGTGGCTGGGTTATCTGCTCCCGCACAAGGCTGAAATGGAGGTGTTCCGAGGACTGAGTCCTTAGCTGGAGCCCTCGGGGAGAGGTCCACATTCTAGCGCCTTCAGGTTGTTGGCAAAATTCAGGTCCTTGAGGTCCTGTTTCCTTACTGGTGGCCATTGAGGGCCACCCTCAGTTCCTAGAGGCCACCCTGCAGGCCTTGCAGTGGACCCCCGGATCATCAAGCCAGGAACAACGCAGCAAGGATCCCTTATGCCTCAAACCTCTCTGACGCTCTCTTCTGCTCCCAGGAGCAGAGGAACTCTCTGCATTTAAAGTGGCTGGTATGATGAGGCCCACCTGGCTATCTCTCTATCATAAAACCCACCTGGATAATATCCCTGTCATTAGGGCATGGAATCTGGCAGGGGGGGAGGGGGGCACGTTTGGTATTCTGCCTGCCTCCTTCTATGACTGAGTTCCAGTCGCAGATATATACCCAACAGAAATGCATACATAATGTTCTCCAAAATGCATGCACAGGAGGCTAAGAGAAACACAACTCATAGTAGCCAAAATCTGGAGAAATTCTTTAACAACAGTAATGGTGTCTTTTTATAATTGAATATACAAATGAGCATGAACAAACTGCCACTACTTAGAGTAACCCAAATGAACCTCACGCACACAGTGTGGAGTAACCAGGTCAGTGTTTATGGGACTAAGTGGAGGCAAACCTAACCCAGCCCAGAAAGTCACAGAAAGCTTCCCCGGGAAGGTACAGCTTTCACCGCAAAGAATTAGAGGGAGTGATGGGGGAAGAGAGGGCAGGACTGGCTCTACAATTGAAAGAATAATAGGAACCGAAGTAACATAGCTGTAAAAATTATGAGCAGATGGGTATAATGAATGACAGCAAAGTGGGGGTGGGCGGGAAATGACGTGCCTAGAGAAGTGGACAAGCATCAGAACATGGAGAACCTTGCAGGCCACATTAAGAAGACTGACCTCGGGGCGCTGGGTGGCTTAGTTGGTTGAGTATCTGACTCTCGATTTTGGCTCAGGTCATGATCTCAGGGTGTTGAGATCGAGCCCCATGTTGGCTCCATGCTGGGTATGTAGCCTGCTTAATATTCTCTCTCTCCCTCTGCCCCTTCCCCACTCCGTCTCCTGTGCTCTCTCTCTCAAAAAACAAAGAAGACTGACCTTAATCCTGTTGCTGATGGCGACACAGGAGGTCCTTACAAAAGGAAGGATATGGACATATTTACAGTTGGGATCGTGACACTGCAAAGTGGAGGGTGAAATTTCAAGAGGAAAATGAGGACACTAGGTTAGTTAGGAGGCTGTTCAAAGAGTACAGGTTAAGAGATGGGAACCTGAGTTGCTGGAGTGAAGAGGGGCAGGGACAATATTAGAAGCGTAGATGCCTTGTATCCACCTCTCTTCCCAAAATCTCTTCTTAAAGCCTTGTGAACGTTTTTGTAGTTTTGAATCCTATTAGCTCTCAGAAGACATATGCCAATCTGAATTCCCACTAGCAATATGCCCATCTCCCTCAATTCTTGACAGAATGGGTGCTTTTAAAAAAATTTCACCACTTGCATAGGCAAATAACTGTACCTCACTATTTTATATTGTATTTTTGATCGAAAGCATTAACATTTTTTAAATGTTCATTGACTGTCACTTTGTAAACTATCAATTCATGTCACTTGTTAGATTTTTCTAAATGTGTTCATTTCTTCATACTGACTTGTAAGAAGTTACACGTTAACGATGCTAACCCTTTTGAAGTGCATTTTTCCATATCCACACCTTTTGATTTTGTTTAGGCTAATTTTTCATTTATAATAGTTTCATACGATTAAGTAGTCACATCTATTCATTTTTCTATTATTAGTTTCTACCTTTAGGTTTACACATTTGAGTTCTTACCCAATCATGATTCGTGAATCTTTACCTATATTTTCTTTAGGGGCTTTAATCATTTTATTTAAATCTTTAATTGATATAGGATTTACTTTGGTATATAGTATACTGTATCTTAATTTTTTTCCAGATAATCATTTGGCTAAGCAAAATGGATAATTCATGCTTTCCCTGTTGATTTGGAATGCCACTCTTATAAAATATATTAAATCCTTGTGTCTTCAAAACTGGCTGTAATTCATGGTAGGCCAAATTCCCCTACATCACTTGTCTTTTACAAAATATTCTCAACTGTTCTTGCAAGTAAGAGTTAAATTAGCTTCATATAGTGAACTGAAATGTTTCTCATTGTTTTCTATGCTCTGTGTTCTAACAGTGTAAAATCTTAAAGGAGATATTGGTTCCTTAAAGGTTTGAAAGATTTTGCTTATAAGATTTTCCAGGTGCTGAAATTCTCTGACATTTGTCAACTTCTTTTATAGTTTTTGGTCCGTATAATTGTACCACCCATTAAACTGTTCTTTGGGGTGCATGGCTGGCAGTCCATAGAGCATGTGACTCTTGATCTCAGGGTTGAGCCCCACATTGGGTGTAGAGATTACCTAAAAATAACATCTTAAAAAAAAAAAACAGGCAAACCTTCTTTTACTAAAAGAGCCATTTAATCAAAATGTCCAAAAAAATATTAACGTGTTATACCTATAGCTAATTTCTCTTTTCATTCATAATAGGCATTCAGATTTTTTCTTGTTTGGCTTTGTCAAAAGTGTCTATTTTATTGGTCTTTTCAAAGATCCACCTCTGGGGTTAAATATCAATCCCATTTTCATTTTCTTTCCTCATGCTTTTCCTAGATTTTTTTTTTTCACTTTTTGGCTTCTGAATTGATTGTTTGGTTTATTTTTATTTTGTTCATGGATTCAAGCCTATAAGGCTCTAAGTTTTACTTGAGGTAGCGTTTTGGGGTTTTTTTTTTTTGATATATAATTTCCCCTATTTTTATTGTCTTAAACTGTGATTATAATTTGTATTTTCTCTTTGATCTATGAATTATTTGACAGTATTTTAATTTCCACTATTTAAAAAAAATTATCCTTTTGCTATGAATTGCTCACTTTATTGCCTGGCGGTCAGAAAATGTAGTCTACAGTGTATAACTTATAGTCTTATTATCTCCTATATTTTTGTCCAAGTTCCATGGATATTTGAAAAGAATATGCGTATTATAAAAATACTTTTTCTCTTCCTTGGGTAAAACAGCGATTTTCCTGAAATCCTCCTGCTGTATTTTTGCATTTTCTGCTTTGCATATTTTGATGGACTGTTACTAGGCACTGTTACATCTTCAAAGAGAATGCACCCATACAAAGTAATTTTTTCCTTAAATTCTATTCTTTCCTGATATCATTATGACTACTCTTGAATTGTTTTGTGGACCCTTTGCCTTGTTTGTCTTTACCAATCACTCTGTTTAACCAATGTTGTTTCATTTTCAGGTGAGCGTCTAGTGAAATGCATGGGTGGGCGTGCACACACACGCAGGACTTCAGCTTTTGATCCAAATTGAAAATCTAACTTTAAATAAGGACATTTAGGTGACGCGTGGATTCTATTTTTCTTCTTATGTTGTCTGTTTCTTGTGTCTCCCTTCTTTTGCTGTGCATCGATCCAGGCTGCCTTGTTTGTTTTCACTTTCTACAAACTGTGCAAGACTTGACTATACTTCCCCTTTACGTCTTTCGCTTCCCGATTATTCCTCCCCTTACCCAACCAGATGTCTATCTTCACCATTTGCATGTAACGGCTCTAAAAAGCCACCAATAACTTCAGATTCCTAAACGCAGTGAACACTTCCCTTTTCGCTAGCACTAGTCTTACTACACCCTCCCCGTGACATTCAACACAACTGATTACTCTGCCCTCCCCCTCTGCCCCTTATTCTATGACCCTGCCCTTTTCCAGATTTTGTCTATCTGGATATTGTTGTCTTTCTGTCCTCCTCTCCTCCCTCTTTCTTCTCTCTCCCCCTCCGCCCCCTCCCCACTAGGCGCTAACCCTCCCCTTCCCATCTCTATTCTACCACCGGTGATTTCATCCGCTGTGCCTTCGGTTACTATCAAATATGACTGACTTCCAAATCTCCAGTCCAGATCACTTTTTTGAGCCCTAAACTAATATATACCATCATTCTCTTGACATTTCTGTGCGGTGTCTGCTGGACACATCACCCTGACATGTCCAAACATGAGTCCACGACTTTTCCCTCATGCTGACCCTCTCTTTTCCTCCATCTGATCAAATTGCATTAACAGTGACCTGCTTGTTGCTCAGGCCATAAGCTGAGGGCCATTACTGGATCTTTCTATCCTTTACCCCTGACCCCTAACATTACTAAGTCCAAATGATTCTGCCTCTGATGTATTTTTTTGGAATTGGTTGCCTCTTCCCACCACCACCGCTAACAACTTGGTCCAAATGACCATCACCTCCTGCTTGGACAAATACAACAGTCTCCTTGCTAGTCTCCCAGCTCCATTCTTGCCTCCCTAAAATCCATTTTCCACCCAGCACCAGAAAGAGCTTGCTGAAATACATATCTGAATATAGCATTCTTCTGCTTTAAACCTTCCCAAAGATTCCTTTGCCTTTAGAATCAAAATCAAAGACCATAAAATAGCCTGAAGTACAAGGCCCCCCGCATAATCTGGCTGCTGCCAAGCACCCCAAGTTCCCATTCCTTTCCTTCTCTCTGTTTAATTCCAGCCACCCCACCTTCCTTGGGTTCCTCCAAAGTCCTGGTCACATTCTGCTGAATTCGTCCCACTTGGTCTCCTCATTCCTCCACCTTTGCAGGCCTGGCTCCTCCATGTCATCCAGGTCCCAGCTCAAATGTTTAAGGACCCTCAAGGAGACTCAGTCTAAAGTCGCCTTTCTCCCACACCTAAGTCATGTGACTATTTTCATCATGCTTATCACTATCTGAAATTATATGGAAAATTTGTTTACTTGTTTATGTGTTTCCATCCACTGGCGTATAGACCCCCTGAATGCATAAAGCTTGTCTGTTTTCCTTCAGCTTTGTGTCCTCAGTGACAACCATGGCTGGCATTAATAGGCGCTCAATAAAATGGGTCAAATGAAAATGACTCGATCAATCCTGCTGCCCTGATGCAGGCATAGAATGATGGAGAACTGGATTCAGCAGATCCAATACTGTCTATACCACATATTAGATGTGTCTTTTAGCAAGTTATCTGACCCTCAGTTTCTTCATCTGAAATACATAGATAACAAAAGCATCTACTGTAAGGGGATGTACAGAGCTGCTGTATGCATTAAATGAGAAGAAAGACCTAAACACTTGGCACGGTGACTGGCATATAGTAAGTGCTTAATAAATTGTAGCTAGCTGGTATATATCTGTATAAATTACTCACACACACACACACACACACACGCACACACATGCACACACATTTGGGTGTTCACCTTCATTTGGTTTAATGGTTCTACTGTCCTGTCTTTGAAACCTCAACTTGTGTGTTCTTATCAATATCGTACCTCAGGAGGAGAATCTGAGTCCTTAACATCCTCTGCTCAGTTCCTAGCCCCCACCCCAGCACGGTTATGAGCTTTTATAAACCTCTTTAAATGATTTACCTGAAAATATATTTCTCTCCAGTATCATACAGCGGTTTCAGGCAGCCTACATTCCATCTACTTCCTCAGAGGTCTGTCTGTGAATAGTAAATACACACAGGTCTATATAAATATCGCACGTGTTGGAAGACGTAGACTAAAATCACCTTTGGACTTACCATAAAAAAATCCTGTGAGCCCAGGTTAGAGAAGCAACCCCCATTACAGCAAGATACGCCCCTTTTACAACACATAATGGCAGGGACAATTCAATCTTTGTCATTTATTACTTTTATTTGGACAACATATATACATATGTACAAAATACCTACTGTCAGAATCCTCTTTGATAATTTCATTTGATTTACAAAAACGGGACAGCAAAATAACTTAGGTCACTAATACTGTACAAAAATAAAACTGATTAAACAGTTGTAAAGATCAGTATCTTACAGTGTTACAGATCATTCACCTGTTGTGAAAGAACATCTCAATCTATCCAGAGTGATGAGCGCTGTGCTAAATCTACCTGCAAACTGACAACTAATCAATTTCTGTAATATGGCTACCAAATATAATTCTCAAAAGAAGCATGATGTAGAGCTAGACCTTAAAGCCAGGGCATCATTCCATAGTGGTGAAGGGCTTTCTTCTTCCCTAACCAAGGAGAGGAGTTATCTTAACTCTAAATCTATTAAATTTTCCAGAATATGACAACTACTTACAGTATTAGATAAAACAACTTTTCTTTCTCTTTAAACACCTGCAATAGTCTTTCAAAAAATTCAGTTTGGTTAAAAAAGTAAACAAAAATTACTATCCTGCATTTGGATTTTTATAAGTTAAATCCATGGTCTTTTTAATATAAAAAGTAATTGCTTCATAGTTTTAGTGTTCAATGAACTCTAGTAGTCCTATTTGAACCATATCTTGATAGAGTACATCTAATTAGAATGCTGGTTCCTGTTTTGTGACATTTTAAAACAGGATTCATCACGAAGAATAAAAAGCCTTGAGTTTATACGTTACGTTACTCTAACATATAAGAGAATATCAAATGTGTGTTCAACAACTTGAAAAGGCAAGTAACAACTTTTTGGGGGGAAGTAAATTGTGCATTTTTTTTTTTTTAAACAAGTTGCTGCATTTATATCCATCTAAGTGAGTGCTGAACAAAAGCCACATATAGATTTACTCCTGAAACTACAAAGATTGTCTGTCTTTCACTGACTTTGCTTGGTTTTCCTTCATTTCTTTCTGTGAGGGGAAGATGAGTTTGTCCAAGTTAGTGGGTTGCTAGGCAACCCCAAACTCCTCACTCACTAGAAGGCAGCGTGCAGAGGATCACAAGCAGGACCGTTCCATGAGCTCAGTAAGAAATAGACAGCCTAACCTATTTCGTATGGAAGAACAGATGTCCTTAAAACTTATTTTGGACACAGAAATTAAAATTTGGTTTAAAATAAGCGTTTCAAAAATCTGAAACAGAGGTAGAAAGTGTTCTTTATTTTTCCTGACATGTTTTCCCGTGAGAAAACACTTTCCCTTTTATCTCAATGGACTGTTCCCAGTCCCTAATGTTAAAAGCAGTTCTCTTTATAGAACTACTAATACGACTACGTTGGTTAAACAAACAAAAAAGAAAAACACCGTGCGAGTGATGGCTATCGTATTGGAAGTCGGAGTCAGCCGTGCCCCACGTCTGCTGTGGGAGCCCACACTGGTTCTGAACCTGGCAACGCGCATGTGTCAGGTGAAGTGACGAGTTCACTGACGGGGAGGCACCCTAAGTTTACCCGACACAGCTTACAGCACATGTATAAACGAGAGGGCACCATAGCTCCCTGTTTTAAATAGCAGATAAAATTGCCAGAAAGCATTATTTCTGACAAAAGAAAATGTAAACATTTCTCCCACGATCACTGCTGACTCCCTTTACTTGAGGTTTCTTCTTCGCTATGAAAACAGTTCATTCTTTTCTGACCACGTGAAGGCCAAAATTAAGTTTTCAGGTAAATGGCATTTTATGGATGTAGTGGTTTAGGCCACTGTAGACACCTGGATACAAGATATATAGTGGTGAGTCTTCTGATGTCAAAGATACAGTGATGTGTCTTCATTCACACGCATTCCGTGTGCCTTCGTTCTCCAACAGGGACCATTTCGAAGTCACCTTGGAAATCATCATGGTATTTTCCCTTGGGACTCACTACTTAACAGGGATACATTTTTCTTTTCACGTGTCAGCTTCCTTTTCCTTTTTACATAACTCTTGCACCTGTCAGTGGGAGTTTGGAGGAACACGGGAAGGAGACCAACACACTTTTTCTTCACAAAGTCGGTGTTTCCAGAGAAGTTACTGTTACGCACCCATTCAAATAAAACCCAACGGAGTCAAAACCCTCTCCGTTCGTGGCATTAGAACAGTAAGGTGATATTAACTAAAAGGATCGGAAAATTTGGAAAAGTTAATAGAGTTAAAATTCTGTTTGCTCTTTTTGAATTTTTTTTAAAAAAAATACTACCCTCCTTCTCCTTCAGCATCTGTCACATATATTCTGCCCTCCCATCTCTGCCATGATTTCATAGGGAAAAGTGTATACTACATAAAAAAAAGAAAAAAAAAGCAGATTATAACGTGGTTCCAAACAGAATGTCTGCTTCTATCCTTAAAGCACATATTTAACTTATTCATCCTCTGCATTAGAAAATAAAAGTGCAGCTTATGTTCAAAAAGTACAATTCATACAAAGCAAGGTTTAAAAGTTCTGTACTCAGTGTAACCTTTTAGAGGTTCGTCTTGATTAGTATAAATTCAGACTGCTTACCCATCGACTATAAGTAACTTTTTTTGTTTTCAAGTCTTTAGATGACAGATCATGCTGGAGTAGATGTGCTCTTGCTTGCATAAAGACAGCTGTGCTATGGTGTGTTTTTTGTCGGTTTTTGTGGGTTTTTGTTGTTGTTGTTGTTGTTTTTGTTTTGTTTTTTTATCTCAAAGGTTAACGTGATTCAAGAGAGTGGTTTTGCTAAAGAAACCGCAGCGCACTCGTCATTTACACCGAAAAAGGTAGGAAAACAATTCGGAGAGACAGCAAGCAGAAAGGGCCCCGAATCACCGTGTGGCGCCACAGGTCCGCTCACCGGGTCAGACGTATGTACACCAGGGTGGAAGCTTTAAAATTCTACGCGCCCCCCTCCCCGCCGCCGCCGCCGCCGCCTTGGCCTTGGCCTTGGCCTTGGCCTTGCCCCCCTCCCCCCGCCCCGCCCCCACCCCCCAAAATAAAGGAGAGAGAGAGAGAGAAAAAGAAAGTATTCGCCTTCCCTCCAACAGGCAGAGACGGTTCCGAGCTGCCTCTGCAAGGGGACCAAGTGTGCACTTTGATCTCAGGCTACGCTGTGCTTTTTAGGCAACGCGGCGGGCACAGGAAGGGGCGGCGGCGGCGGCGGCCGGAGGGCAGGGACCCGCGGGCCCGCGGCGCGCCCCCTCGCGGCCGGCCGCGTCCCCGGCGCCGGGAGCCGTGCGGGCGGGCGGGGGGCGCGGCCGGCCCCTCACAAGGGGTGCGCCAGCGCCTTTTTCGAGCGCTTGATCATGCTGGGGTGGAACTCGGTGTGGCGCCGGGCGTGCTTGGTGAGGTGGTCGCTCCTCATGAAGCGCTTCTCGCACAGCGGGCAGCGGAACTGCTTCTCGCCCGTGTGCGTCCGGTAGTGGCGCGTCAGCTCGTCCGAGCGCGAGAACTTTTTAAGGCAGTCTGGCCACGTGCAGGGGAAGGGCCGCTCACCTGCGGGGAGGGGGTCGAGACAGGACGCGGGTGAGACAGCAGGGTCGCAGAACGCGCCGACCACCCCCGGGGCCCGCAGGCGAGGCCCGTGGGCTGAGGGCGTGTGCCCCCCCCGGCACCCCCGCATCCCTGGGCTGGCACCCTGACCCCCGGGACCTCGGGACGGGACTGCATGTGGGGACACAGTGTTCGCAGAGGACACCGAGGGAGGCCTCGGAGGGAACCAGCGCTGCGGACTCCTTCCTCTTGGACCCTCGCCTCCCATGCTGAGAAACACACTTCGGTCCCCCCCCGGCCCCCCACCTCCCAGTGGCACCTAACAGACTGACAGATACCATGAGGAAGTTTCCCAGAATCATGCTCTCCAAGCAAAGGAGCTTGCTCTTTTATACCCAGTGGGTCGCCGAGAGCCTGGAAATTATCATCATCACCGTGGGGGGGGTGGGGGGGAGAGGGGGGGGTAATTCTACATGGCGGCTGGTCGCACAGGTTCTCCCAGAGAGTCAGGAACCTCGGCCCTTTGCTGGATTTGCTGGCGCCCCAGGACTGAGGCAGCGAGTCCAACCGACCTCTCACCTGGAGCAGGTGTTTCCCCTGGAGCTCCTGAGTGCTGTGGCCACCGAGCCTCCGTCAGGGCCGGTCTGGGGACAGGGAGGCCGGCACCCGACAAGAAAGCCTGCTTGTTCCTGAGCATCTTGGTAACAAACACTTTTAGAGACATGGAATGTGCTTCCCTGTTGAAGGCCGTATTTTATAAGTCATACTGTCTTCATTTTTATTATGACTAATACTACTCTTAATCTCCATGCCCAACGCGGGGCTCAAACCCCGAGATCAAGAGTCCCATCCTCTTCCGGCTTAGCCAGTCAGGTGCCCCCCGTCATAGTGTCTTATACTAAAAAATACATATTTGTTCCCTCTGCCACATAGGAATCCTTTAGATATCTGAGGAGAGCTATCCTGACTTTCTCTAGTCTGTTCACACTAAGCAGTCCCAGCTGCTTCCATATGTCTCATAAAAGAACTAGCATGATTCTCAAATAGTGAGAGCTAAGGGCTTCACAACGCACTATCCCACCGATTTCTCACAGGACGCCCCATGGAGGTGGCCCATTTCACAGATGAGGAAACAGGCTTAGCACTTCCTGGTGTTTCCAGCAGCCCCTCCTTTGCAGTCGCTCTCCTCAGACTCAGCATATTGTCTCCATGTCCCACTTCATTAAAATGCAGCTACGCCTCACCCTCCAGGCGTGATCAGGTTAGCACTGGGGGCCTCCTGGCCCCTGCCGGGGCCGGAGAGCGCCCGTGGCCACGTTTGCTGGACCCACACACAAGCTGAAAGGCACCATGAGC